TTGGGGTCCACGGGACAAGAGGAACCAGTGGTTGGAGACCCTAGGTGATATGGCTCAGAACCGAAGTCAGTGGCGCAGATGTATACACACATTATCCTCATCTTAACAACGCTATACCGAATCTCACTATTTTGTCACTCCTCTTTCCTTTCTTCTCATACTTTATATTTCTTTTGACTGCATTCACTTATCTTCATCCTTCACCTCACTACCTTTTTACTTGATGTGCTGATATGAGGTGTGGCAACTCGGACCGTTACGCAGTAATGCCTGGTCCTATGTTGATAATGATGATGATGATGATGACAGGACGAAATGCGCATCCTGGATTCCACTGCTAGCCACTGTCCATCATTACTACCATTTGAGCACCGGTAATATCGAAACATCCACACAGGATCTCATATGCCAATAGAGACCGATCAGTTTGGTCCAACCAAAGACGGTATGATACAAAAACAACTATACTGATAAAGATATCATCTTCAGTATGGCTGGAACTGATAAATAGTTGGATGTAGTACAATATTTCCAAAATCAGTCATGAAGCAGTCAGTCCATTGGTGTTTCCATTTGTAGATAAAATTCATTACTGAACTTGAATTACACAATAAAAAGTCATCACAGAAGTAATTCCATCAGATAATAAATTGGTATACTGACTTGGAGATTATTAGCTTTTAAAATGGTGGAGGATATTTGTAGTTCAGGTGGATGGTCTTCGTTGTATTATGTTCTCTAAGCTGGGCTGTTTGATCGTGGAGCTTTCATCGTTTTTCTAGACGACACTATGATGAATAACTTCACGCTGAAGACTATTAGTTTCGACGTATTTACGTGGGAAACAAACATAAAATGTAAGTGAAACATTTTTCCAGTGAAAAGCGACACCCAAAGGGAGCTTTGGTTTCCAGATGACGAATGACAAACTAAACAATCAGTTGGGATAACTTCGGAAAGTACTTCAGAATGGCTATTGCTCAATGTTCATGAAAAAATCATGGAGCCAAAATAACAACATGAACAAGTTCGTACTTTACCTAAGAAGACCTTATTCCTGAATATTGAATTCACAGGGGACAATGCAGCAGAAATACTGAAGAGTCGTCTCTCCAAAGCTTTCCGAAAACACTGTATACCATCGAACTGCGAATGCTCTTCTCCAACTGACGATTAATGCAAGGTAGTGTGAATCCTGGCGTTTGAGCGAAATCCATGTGTGTTCATCAATTAACCTGCTCTTATGGAGCTGATTATGTTGGCTGCACAAAGCACAGTCTTTCCAAACGCATCTCTGAGCACTATCCTTCGTGGCTGTCCAGAAGGGGTCGTAAGTCAGAAAACAGTATCATCATGGATCATTCAATCAACTCTAGTCATATCATTTCCTGCAGTCTTCTGTCAAAATCCCATATAAAGTCAAGCCAAACGGCTCGAAAGGGGTGCAAATTCGTGACTGGTGTATAGTAGAAGCGCTCACAACCAAAAAATTAAAGGCATTTGTTTCGGCGAACAGAAGAGGTACGTCCATTCTTCTATTCTGCCGTGGTAATAATGCTTCCTTATGCCTTCTTTATTGCCTCAATTTTGATGTTACTCTTGCTGAATGATTATAGTTACATTTTATTTTTTGTTTGCTTCGCGGTTTACTTTACCACATCTTAACATGTTAGCTCTAATCTCTCACTAAAATTCTCAAAGTACGTTACTCAGATTCTTGATTATAATTAGTATAACAATTTTCAACCCGTCTATATTTTTAAACAATTGGTCATCACGTTAATCTACAGCATATTTCCCAGACGTACACTTGATTGCGCAATCGCTTTCAACCTGGGACATTCTGTCTTGATGACCTAATGTTGACCTGTTAGCTAACAACAGAATAATCTATTAATGACGGATTGTGGCCAACAGTGGAATCCAAGATGCGCGTTTCGTCCCATTTAAGACTCGTCAGTTAGGTGTACCTGCCTCCCAGCGACAGATGTTGTTCCCACCGGAACTCGAACTCAGGACCTATCGCTTCAAACACCAGAGCGTTATGCACTAGATCATAGAGTCACGATAGCCACTTTTTGTGCGATGGGCATAGTTTTAATGCTGTTGCTTGTATTACCTCATCGTTGAGTGGACCGAATTGATCGGTCTCTATTGGCATGTGGGATGCTGTGCGGGTGCCTCGATATTGCCTGTGTTGGCTAGCACAAGGAATCTAGGATGCACGTTACTCCCCATTTGGGGCTCGTCAGATGGTGAAGTTATTCCAACTCCTCTCCACTATCCACCAGTAATATATAATTCAAACACAGCCAACTTCGAGGCATCCGTACAGAAGCGCATTCGCCAATCGAGGCCGACGAACTCAATCCACTCAACGACGGGACAGTACAGGCAATAACACTATTAGACTAGTCCGTTTGTTTTTTATTGCTTAAAATACCTTTGTACAGCTGCTGAAAATGATTCATGGGAATAAATTTGTGATTTTGAAAGCTTGTTACTTATTGGTTTCTATGCTTTACTGATGACAATTCATTCATTCTTGAAGCATTCTATTAACAATGCATAGAATCCAGATCGCAGTTATGAGATAATACCAAACATACTTTCAACGTAAGGTCGACATGAATCTACTTGGTGCTGGATAATGATTGTAGGTGAAATAAAAACGTCTATATTAGGTCCAGACCGAGAAACTCTAACCTCTACGTGAATGGCAAATTACAAGCACCAAATAACAACTGACACTCGTCGAACAAAAGGTGGATATCATGAACCAGTGGCCTAGTGAATAACGCTTTGTCCTCCGAAGCGATAGGTCCTGGGTATAAGTCTAGTGGGGACATCTCCTTCTGTAGGATGCAGGTGCATCCAGCAGATGAGTCCCAAATAGGATGAAACGTGCATCCTAGATTCCATTGCTAATCACCATGATTAATATAACCTCCATATTAGTTCTGCGTGTTTGATATAGAACACGGTAATGCAGTATTATTTACTTGATGATGGCATTTTAAGCATAAATTACTGCTCATAATCACATCAAAGTAATCATTGTTTTTGACATCTGATTTTGTCTGTCCTATCACCTTCTATTCTGTTTTAAGTAATAGTAATTTCCCTTATCTCTGGTGTAGGTGTTGCGTCATTCCTACTGCATGTGTTTTAGGTCTTGATTCTATTGGCAAAAATTCAGTAATCAATTTCTTCTTCCATTCAACTAAATTGAACTTGAGTACATTTGTTTTATCCCACCTTACTGTGTGGTTGTGTATGAATGCACTGCAGTGGTCCAGCTTTTCTAGATCACTGATACTACTGGCATCTGTCTCTCTACATGTGGATTAATTTCTACGTTTCAATAATCTAACTGACCTTGTTCACCTAGTTTGACCTATGTACTTGACCTCATAGTCGTCACATGAAATTTAGTAGGTTAGATCACTTTACTTAATTGGGTTTATCTAGTCTTTAGACCGACAAAGGTTATCTGTGAGTGACTTTTTAAGTTTTGACGCTACCCTAATTCCATCCTTGTTGAGGATCCTATGTAACGTTTCTGAATGTTCTTTCTAGACATGATAACAGATCCATTGAACCCCTTTCCACTCTTGTTGTCGCTTTCATATGATTCATATTACTGTTATGATTTTGTTTTTTAAGTGTTCCTACGAATTCCTTAATAAATTGTAGAGGAGAACTATTCACTAGTAACGTTTATTTTGTGTTTCTATTCCTTACATAAGTCCCTGCATTGACTGGTGGGTATTCTAGCTCCTTTATTTCGATATTTGACTAAACCCACCTCAACTAACATTCATGACCTGAAGTTTAGTTACCTGCTAGGATATATCGATTTATTTACGAGGAGAGATTAGAAATACTAACGACTGTTCGTCGACACTGATGACACACCTAATATACTTGGTTCTATCTGCAGGCTATTCCAACAGCATGAATCATACTTGCATCAAATTTGTAAATGAAGATTTGTCAATAAATTTTCACAATTAATGGATTAAAAACATTCAAAAAATGCACCAACACACAACATACTAGATAAGATTCTAAATGAAAGTCAAATTTCATTATTATGCAGAGGTCTGGATTTCACCAGCGACTGAAAGTAATTATTAATTTATGTACTAACATCAGTTGTCGAACCTCCCTTGAAATCCTAAACTGTCTGTCCAAAACTGTCACATATTCTCATTGATACTTCTATCCACATGATTTTTTGAAGAGTTCATATGAATATATGATTGGCGTCTCATTTTATTCAAAGGTCTGTCTGTACTACAATAGTGTGAAATCATCAACACACCAAGCACTTAAATATTGCTCTCTATTGTATGCTGTCTTAATATATAGTCAGACAAAAAAAATAAACTTTAATGATAAATAATAATTCTTGTCTGGAGGTTTATTATTGATTTTAGGTTGAAATTCATCATGAGCTGACATCAGTCTGAGGAGTTTTGGAAACTTGGAAGCCTTAGACAGCCAACTGTTTCATCCTAATATGAGACTCATCAGCAGTGCCCACCAACCACCCAAACTCACCAGGGATCGAACCTAGGATATTTAGGTTCCGTGGCCAGCACGTTACCATTGAGTCACTGAGTCGGAATTTAGTGGTCCATGTTTCCTACTTCTGTCAACTCATGAAATAGCGCCACCTACACCCAATATCGTCGCTGAGTAACTGTCCTGATGTTCGACTTCGTTGATTTCATTCATCACGACTTCTCAGGAATCACCTCTCCAAGCTAGTCACCAATGAGTGCTAGATTATTTATGTCTGGGGTTTTACGGGTTCGATCCTTGGAGGAGTCATGGGTGTACACTGTTGAGGAGCTCCATACTAGGACGAAACAGTTGGCTGTCCAGTGCTCCCAGGTTTCCAATGCTCCTCAGACTAATGTCAGTTCATGATGAATTTCAAACTGAAATAATTTCACTGAAATCTTGGTTCATCGAAAAACAACAACACTTACTGTATATATTGTGCATATTCAAAATTGCCTAATTTCGCTCTGTCAAGTGCATACAGATGCACGGAGTATGGAGTGACACCACAATGAACAATACCAGAGGAATGTAGAAATATTAGAGCTTCAGAGATTTGACATGAAATAACAAGGGCTGATAGTGTGGATAAATTATTACGCTGAAATAAGACAAAAAGAAGCTCATGTTACAGAATCTTCAAGATCCATTGCATAGATACCTGTGACCAATTAAATGCCTGTATATGACAAAAGGAATTGTAAGTCAATGAGAGCATCCCTTGCCGGGTTGGAGCATAATAATAATGAGACTTTGAGACTGGCAATGCAACGCTTCTCTTTGTTTTCGAAATTTGCCTTGCTGATTTGTTTTAATAAGAAAATAAATTGGGTCGAATGATAATCTTACTTACTGCTCAGAGACAGCTGTGACTTAGCACACTACATTAACAAGTAGTCTGGTCCATTTACCGATTGAGAAACCAAGAAGAATGATAGTATGGAAATAATGAGTTACACCATACTGAAAATTCAGTTAAGATACTTTGATTAGGCTATTATAGATCGGTGTTTAAGTTTCTAAAGAGATTATCAAGAATGCATATTCATTGCTGAGTATATTAACAGTATTCATCACAACTGGTGAACTCAGTGTGTGCTGAAAACAGCACATAGAAAAACACCGCAGAAACACAACATTCAACCTTCACTCCTGTTACAGAGGCATAGATGTACATGTAATTCACTCCCTTAAAAGGATCAGTCGTGTCCTGGGTTACCGAGTGATTAAGTCAGTGGTTTCAGCACTGAATTGGGCGAGTTTAAAATTACAAAGCGGGTCAACTTTCCCCAAAGTCACAGATATCACTTACTGATGAATGTCACCAAACGTGAAACGCCTCCCCAGGGATTTTCCGTCGACTTATTTTTCAAAAGTAATATTAAATATAGTTGAACTTAACTTATAATCAGACTGTAAATTGCTTCCAATGCTTAAGTCCCGTTACAAAATACGTTAAAATTAGACTGCAGTCTGTAAGATTTATGCCTAGAAATATAAGGAAACTAGATAGACTTTGAGTAGCCACCTAGTTTGTATTTGCGCAAATACATTACACGGTTCAGACAATTTACGTCTTCTTATTGTTTTGTCGAAGTTTATCAAGGGAACTGATTGTTTTAAATTCTTGAAATAATTTTACTGTATGTTCCGCATTGACGATTTATTGTATTCCACCTATCTTCATGTATTATAAGCTGTAAGGCCTGAAGAAGTTACTGAAAACAACTACTTGCTCAGATTATATCTTTTCTGAATTGTCTACTAGGATATCTAAATTTCCGTAGTCACAGGATCACACTGAGATATTCTTGCAATAATACAAACTAGGTGGCTACTCAAAGTCTATCTAGTTTCCTTATATTTCTAGGCATAAATCTTACAGACTGCAGTCTAATTTTAACGTATTTTGTAACGGGACTTAAGCATTGGAAGCAATTTACAGTCTGATTATAAGTTAAGTTCAACTATATTTAATATTACTTTTGAAAAATAAGTCGACGGAAAATCCTGGGGAGGCGTTTCACGTTTGGTGACATTCATCAGTAAGTGATATCTGTGACTTTGGGGAAAGTTGACCCGCTTTGTAATTTTAAACTCGCCCAATTCAGTGCTGAAACCACTGACTTAATCACTCGGTAACCCAGGACACGACTGATCCTTTTAAGGGAGTGAATTACATGTACATCTATGCCTCTGTAACAGGAGTGAAGGTTGAATGTTGTGTTTCTGCGGTGTTTTTCTATGTGCTGTTTTCAGCACACACTGAGTTCACCAGTTTGTGATGGATAGCAGCATGATTCCACGCGAGTTCTTGCAAACACTGAGGTCTCCCTTCCTCGGCAGTTTGACAAGCTAACCTTTCTTCTAATCAACCGACAGGTACCTTTCCTTCCCTCCAAACCTTCTGCAGTAGTGGTGTGGTGTAGTGTGAGCATGTCCGCTGCAGTTGTCTCTGCGTATGCTCTCAGTGCTTCTGGCGGGATTTCATCTGGTCCTGCTGCTTTCCCGCATTTCAGTAGTTTTATGGCGCTCACGACTTCCATTTTTGTTGGAGGATTTATGTTCATTTGTAGTTCTGTGGCTGGGCTGCAGGTGGTATTTCTAGACGAAGTGCAGGTGGTGGTGGTGGTGGTCGATTCAAGAGCTTTTTGAAGTGATCGGCCCATCGTTTCCTTTGTTTCTCATCTTTCGTAATTAAATTTCACTCATCATCTTTTATTGGTTTCATGTGTGTTGATCTCTTCCCTCCCACATAGTAAGTAACCTGGTTATTTGATACAATGTTGTCAGATCTCTGTCTCTCCTACCTGCGGCAGCCTGTTCTACTTCACTTGCCACTTGGATAGAATATTGAGTAGTAGAATTAAATGAAGACCAGATTGGGTCACTAAAAAGTATATGACATTAGAAAGAATTATGGATACTTAGAGATAGAAAGCGAGAATGAGAAAGATAAGTCTGACATTTACAAGTATTGACTACGTCAAAGGCCAAAAAGCTTGAACAAGTTTAATGGAAGTAAGTTGGTTGGAGGTAATCAGCAGGAGGTCGTGTTCAACTTAGTTCTCTCGCTTGATGTCACTCGTCGGCAAGATGTATCTGCGACCCTGAGGGGGCTGATGTTCCTCGTGAGGTTCGAACTCGCGTCACTCAGTGACTTATCACTGAGATATTCGGGCAGCTACTGACCTACTATTAGTTAGTTACATTGATTGGTCATTGAGGGGCAACCAATTTCTTCAGGCTGTCTAGTCCTGGGTGGTGACCAATTCCATCGATCAATCTGAAGACAATTTTGGTTTCTCTATGCTTATGGCATGAGCTATTGCAGTCCGAATAGTGAAGAGACGAATCGTTGTCGATAAATTTCTTCTCACCTTGGGCATGACTTTGTGCACTCAACCAGTTGTAATGCTATGGCTAGTATTGACAGAATCCCCAGTTATTACGTTTTTCGAATAAAGAACAACGATAGGAGGACACTTACGTGGTAGAATTTTATTCCTCTCCAGTTGCTTGGACCCACCTAGACTGGAATCTCGTACCCATCACTTCAAGCGCCAAGGCGTTATCCACTAGGCCACGGAGGCATTATAGTCATCTCGATGAGAACAACATCACTCACTGGGGTGCAGGTACATCCAGCTGACGAGTCCCAAATAGGACGAAACGCGCTTCCTGGATTCTTCAGTTAGCCACAACCAAGTTAAAGAAGTTTCATTCTAAAGATGGTGTCATGAAATAAGAGGAAGAATAAAATATTATTTTCTGTTGGCAAGGAAGACGTGTGATTGGGTTTTTTAACGCACAATTCCGGTCCCATTCGTTTGATTACTATGACCTCAGAAGAGTGACGTTATTTGTTGAAGGTTCCTAGAGTATTTACTGTAAGGTCTTTCTGTATTCAAGCTTGTAGAACGGGAAATATGTGTATGATGTTGCATTTCTGATGGATTGACTCACATTTCTTTGGAACCAGGCAGGATAATGTTTCCGACTCGTTTGGTTTCTTAGTCTACCTCCAAGAATTCATATCCACTTGAATTGATCTCTGTTACCCATAACATTGACTGAAATAATTTTCGACAAAACAATAAGAAGACGTAAGTTGTCTGAACCGTGTAATGTATTTGCGCAACACATTTCGAACTATCTGATCACACACGTACTTGTCATAGGTATTTATATAAAAACTCATGAAGATAAGGGGTGAGAAAATCTTCATGAGTTTTTATATAAATACCTATGACAAGTACGTGTGTGATCAGATAGTTCAAAATGTGTTGTGCAAATACATTACACGGTTCAGACAATTTACGTCTTCTTATTGTTTTGTCGAAAATTATTTCAGTCAATGTTATGGGTAACAGAGATCAATTCAAGTGGATATGAATTCTTGGAGGTAGACTAAGAAACCAAACGAGTCGGAAACATTATCCTGCCTGGTTCCAAAGAAATGTGAGTCAATCCATCAGAAATGCAACATCATACACATATTTCCCGTTCTACAAGCTTGAATACAGAAAGACCTTACAGTAAATACTCTAGGAACCTTCAACAAATAACGTCACTCTTCTGAGGTCATAGTAATCAAACGAATGGGACCGGAATTGTGCGTTAAAAAACCCAATCACACGTCTTCCTTGCCAACAGAAAATAATATTTTATTCTTCCTCTTATTTCATGACACCATCTTTAGAATGAAACTTCTTTAACTTGGTTGTGGCTAACTGAAGAATCCAGGAAGCGCGTTTCGTCCTATTTGGGACTCGTCAGCTGGATGTACCTGCACCCCAGTGAGTGATGTTGTTCTCATCGAGATGACTATAATGCCTCCGTGGCCTAGTGGATAACGCCTTGGCGCTTGAAGTGATGGGTACGAGATTCCAGTCTAGGTGGGTCCAAGCAACTGGAGAGGAATAAAATTCTACCACGTAAGTGTCCTCCTATCGTTGTTCTTTATTCGAAAAACGTAATAACTGGGGATTCTGTCAATACTAGCCATAGCATTACAACTGGTTGAGTGCACAAAGTCATGCCCAAGGTGAGAAGAAATTTATCGACAACGATTCGTCTCTTCACTATTCGGACTGCAATAGCTCATGCCATAAGCATAGAGAAACCAAAATTGTCTTCAGATTGATCGATGGAATTTGGTCACCACCCAGGACTAGACAGCCTGAAGAAATTGGTTGCCCCTCAATGACCAATCAATGTAACTAACTAATAGTAGGTCAGTAGCTGCCCGAATATCTCAGTGATAAGTCACTGAGTGACGCGAGTTCGAACCTCACGAGGAACATCAGCCCCCTCAGGGTCGCAGATACATCTTGCCGACGAGTGACATCAAGCGAGAGAACTAAGTTGAACACGACCTCCTGCTGATTACCTCCAACCAACTTACTTCCATTAAACTTGTTCAAGCTTTTTTGGCCTTTGACGTAGTCAATACTTGTAAATGTCAGACTTATCTTTCTCATTCTCGCTTTCTATCTCTAAGTATCCATAATTCTTTCTAATGTCATATACTTTTTAGTGACCCAATCTGGTCTTCATTTAATTCTACTACTCAATATTCTATCCAAGTGGCAAGTGAAGTAGAACAGGCTGCCGCAGGTAGGAGAGACAGAGATCTGACAACATTGTATCAAATAACCAGGTTACTTACTATGTGGGAGGGAAGAGATCAACACACATGAAACCAATAAAAGATGATGAGTGAAATTTAATTACGAAAGATGAGAAACAAAGGAAACGATGGGCCGATCACTTCAAAAAGCTCTTGAATCGACCACCACCACCACCACCTGCACTTCGTCTAGAAATACCACCTGCAGCCCAGCCACAGAACTACAAATGAACATAAATCCTCCAACAAAAATGGAAGTCGTGAGCGCCATAAAACTACTGAAATGCGGGAAAGCAGCAGGACCAGATGAAATCCCGCCAGAAGCACTGAGAGCATACGCAGAGACAACTGCAGCGGACATGCTCACACTACACCACACCACTACTGCAGAAGGTTTGGAGGGAAGGAAAGGTACCTGTCGGTTGATTAGAAGAAAGGTTAGCTTGTCAAACTGCCGAGGAAGGGAGACCTCAGTGTTTGCAAGAACTCGCGTGGAATCATGCTGCTATCCCTGTCCAACCCCAAGCAAGCAAAATATTAAGCCGCATCATCCTGGAGGAGGCTACAGGATGCTTTCAATTGAAAATTACGACCGGAACAGGCTGGCTCGATTCACGAAGTACAAATCATATGCGGACCAAATTGCAACGCTACACTACGCATCATCATAGAACAGAGTATAGAATGGCAGTCAACAGGACCTTTAACTCAACTCCATCGACTTTGAGAAGGCCTTTGGCATCGAACCTTTGGCGTCGAACGAGAGGTAATTTGGCAGGTAGCTGCTTCAACACTACGGAATACCACAAACCTTTATCAATCTGATGCAACAGCAGCTATATGAAGACGCCACATGCCAGCCAAGTAATTGACAATGGGAAGCTCAGTGATGCTTTTGAAGTGAAGACAGGAGTAAGGCGAAGCTGTCTACTATCCCCCATGATATTCGTGATTGTGGTTGACTGGACTGTATGATGCAGCAAACAGTGGGGAGCTGTGAGAAGAGGGGGATACGCAGTGTGGACCGCGGAGAAGAACCTAGAAGATGTGGATGTGGCCAGTGATGACTTGTGTCTGATGTCACACAAAGTAGAAGATCTACAGGCGAAAACTAACTAGTTGACAGAAGAGGCATGGCAGCGAGGACTGGACTTCAAATGAATATGGAGAAGACGGAGGTGATGAAGATACCCAACCAAGAAGAACAGCAAAACAACAAGCTCCAGTCACCATCAACGGGAGCAACCTGAAGGAAGTAGCCTCGTTCACGTATCTAGGAAGCACTGTTTCAACTACAGGTGGGACAGGCACAGACGAGGATGTCAAAGTCAGAATCGGAAAAGCAAGACAGGCCTTCATTAGCCTGAAGCCAGTGTGGAGATCTTCTGCACTCAGCACGTGGAACGACATCGGGATTTTCAACACCGACGTCAAGTCAGTGCTCCCATACTGTTCAGAGACTTGGAGCGTTACGAAAGAGATTTCCAGCAAACTACAGACATTTATCAACAAATGCCTACTCTGGCTCGTTACTGAAGCTTAGATGGCCAGAATAATAAGAATAAGCATCATGGAACTCTGGGAACGAACCAACCAAGAACCTACCACCCAACAAATATGCTGAGGAAGGAAGTGGAGATGGATTGGGCATACACTGAGGTGGCCGACTGGGGACATCACGCGTCAGGCCCTAGAGTGAAACCAAGATGGGAAGGGACGAGTTGGTCGTCGGTGCCGAGGGTGACATGGAGGAGATAGTGCGAGGAGTGAACGAGAGCTTGTGAGCTGTCGTGGAGCCAGGTTCAAAAGATTTCAGAGGACAGAGCTCATTGGAGACGTGCTTCTGAATGCCTATGTTCCTTTAGGAACCCAAGGGACAGATAAATAATAATATGTATGCCTTTTGTGATTGATCTTAACTTCACATAGAGTGAAACTCCTAAAAAGTTACCTCTGGTAAGCTTATCGCTCTGAATATTAATCAGTCTAGACTGTCTAAAAGAGATTTACCCCAACTTGATTTGATCTTCAATAAAAATCGAGTAATTCCATTGAAAAGACTGCGGTTTCAACAATAGAATGTGTGGAAAATAAAATCTTTCCGCCGGTATTCTTCAAAACTTTAAATTTATACCAGGAGGCCACTGGTTTGGATGTCGTAGCCTTGGTTTAGAATCTACCAAACCACAGCTATTTCAATCCCATCAAAAATATCCTTGATAAGAATGATTACCTAACATAGAGTACTTAATTTTAAAAAACCGTCAACTGAATTCTACCCATAAAGCTTTTTATGAGAATAACAAAATTCCAACTTCAAAATCAGCCATTCGGAGATATACAATTTCTGTTCAACCCACCCTAAAGCTGAAAACAAGCCGTATAATAAGAAGATCACTATTCACATGAATGTTATTTGCATGAATGTGCATTTTCTTCTAATGTTTTTTACAATCTCTGACGCTGTCTGTTTCATGAATTAATAAAAACACCACATCAAATAACAAAATAAAAAATTATTTTTTCTAAATTTTATGATAAATCAATCAGACAAGTGAACACAGCTCATTGTCTTATAAATAAGTTCATAGGTTTTAGGCTCACACTAGTAAATAAATTCTGTCTTGTGAGTATCGCTCAAAGTATGCTGGTATAAAATTGTGTATGTGTGTGTGTGTGTGTGTAATCGAGGGCTTATTGTTAAAGTCTTCAAACTACACACACTCGTGTAAACGAAGTGATTGCATATGTGTGCACAGATCAATAACATAAGAAATTGGAAAACGCATGTTAACACCATTCCACATAACAAAAACAGCCGATGGTTAGATAATGGGAAAATCTTACTGCAACCTAAATAAAAAAACTATTCAACTTCGGAAAATAACTGACTTATCCAACATTTTCATTTTCACGATGGTATGCATCACTGACTGATATAGGTTAGAGAATAGTTGAAAACCTGGGAACCATGGACAGTACGGGGCTTCTCAGCAGTTCGTGTTTATGACTGTACCACGGATAGAACCACATAAGCCTGAGGTTTAGCAACGAGAGAGTTAACATTCAGGCACTGGATCAGTTTCGCAATCTCATCAGATTTATTTTCCTTCTGCACTGATATCAGCTCCGTCTACTGGATGTGCACTGTAGCATGCATGAATAAAACCATTTTCTTAGATTTCAGGTTAATGAAATAACTTTAGTATAATTGCTTGTATTATACCGTCGTTGATTGAACTGAATTGATCGGTCTCTACTGGTATTAGGGCTCCGGTGAGAATGCCTTGATATTACCTATGTTTTAATTATAGTAAGGATGGGTAGCGGCTAGCAGTGGAATCCAGGATGCACATCTCGTCCTATTTCGGACTCATCAGCTGGATGTACCCGGCAGTAAGAGATCTTGTTCCCACCGGTTTTGAACTTGGGAGCGATCGCTTCAAAAGCCTAGGCGTTATCTACTACACCACCGAGCCACGATAGTAGATCTTGTGGGATAGGTATAGTTTTAGTGAATCTCAGTGGGAACAATATCACTCACTGGTAGGCAGGTACATCCAGCTGATTAGTCCAAAGTAGGACGAAATGTGCATCGTGGATTCCACTACTAGCCACTATCCATCATTAGCGCCGAAATAACTGTTAACTTGAAATAAAAACTTTTCTACCTTCATCTATCGTTGTTTTCTCGTAAATTCCGAATATGCTGGTAAAACCATCCTAAAACAACGTAAATCTTTGCCTAGAATTCACTAACTTTTGATTATAACAACCGGTGACTAACATAACTGACAAGTATTTGTTCCAATTGTTCAATTTTGTTTATCCAAAAGGTAACCCCTCATCAAAAGTCAACTAATTTTCGGATTGGTGATACTAGTGGTCTGTGACCATGAAAAAGGTTAGTTACCAGTTTTTATCTTACAAAAAATATTTAAAATTTGTTTAATATTGTGTTTCTTTATTGAGATCAAGGAAAGTTAACATCAGTGATGCTGATTCTTTGAGCCTGATTATCACAATATAAGATGATCGACAGAATTCAACCAACACTCAACAACATGAAATGCGCTACTGTCCAGTGACAAGTCAATGTATCCACTACTGTGCTTGCTTCTATAAAGGATGAATATTTTCTCAGTGAAAAATCACTGAACTAACAAAATTACCTAAAATTAGCACGCACCTGTATATGAACATTCGAGAAATGAAGAAAGAGGCATCATTAGACATTGCTTGATACTTGTAATCCTCCATTCTTGTGGTTTCTAGGTTGGAGTTTCAGTGGGAACAACATCAGGTACATCCAGCTAACGAGTGCGAAATAGAAAGAAACAACCTAACTCAGAGAACAGAATCTAATCAAGACCATCCACCTGAACTACAAATATTCTACACCATTTCAAAATATGAACCTGTTTTACTTGTACTAGCCAATTCTTTACAGTAGAAATTATTATCAGTATCAAATCACCCACTCTATTTTTGATTAACTTTCAAATCATTCACTATGTTAAGTTTATTTTTTTTGTCTTACTATTTAGTGTACAACTTTAGTTTCATCTGTTCGTCTTATTTGCTAGTTTAGAAACGTTAATGTCTGTAGAAGTGCAGTTCTGTTAATGCTTCATTCATTAGAACATAGAAATATAGTGTAAAGTACATTTTATGCACTGTTCAACTTACATTTATTTGAATGTAATCATACATAGTGCCTAAGCAGGGATATTCATAGATTAAGGCCATATTATCAGGGTTGATTGACTGATCACTTGACTCATATGAAACGGTATCATAGATTATAGCCAATAAGCTGATAATATTTGGATGATGAATACGGCTGAGAATATGAAAAGTAGAGAAGGAAATGTAAATCACAAATGAAGCTAACTATTTTTTTTGTACAAATTATAATTGTAACACATTTAACAATTTAATATGTCCTACTTTCGACTATCTAGATGGCTATTTCTCATTTCATTTGCATTTTTTTCGAGTATCAGAGATGCGTATTCATGCGTATTAAACATGAGTAAATTGTTTATGATTTTTTGAGTTGTCAGTGTACATTTTCGTTTGTACTTTACATTCCTATTTACCTGTGTTACTTGAAATGATTACCACCGACAATTGTAGCTGCTATCCTCACATCAGCTTATAAAATTTTACTCAAAGGCTGAATGTATACATACGATTGAATAATGATGAAAGAAATACAGAAGTGTTTGACCATTTAGAGTAGGCTGAAACTTGTTTTCTAGTTTAATCAAGGAACTAGACAAAGTAATCTAGTGTATCTATTCCTACGTTTTAGACAGGCTGACTCTACATTCATCTCTTAAAGCCACAATCAGTGATATCCACTGAAGTTATGGATGGGGTATATCTTTTGACATGATTTAAAACATGAGTCTTTTAGATTGGTTGAAATAAAAGTAGAAATTGGGCATTTAACTCTCTACTGATTGTGTTTATTCAGTTAACACTGAATTTGTAGCTATATTCTTGTGAAGTGTAAGTAACGTGAACAGATTTACTTTAGTGCGAGGTTTCATCTTGTCTGTCTCCGTTTAATCTGTAACCTTATGCAACACTTTTAGGTATATTTTACATTTTATCAGGAGGAGAGACAAACGTGCTTCGAATATCGGTTTACATTAGCCACTGTGAGCCTCAGTTAATCGCTAAACAGTTAGATCAAAACAGTTTACATACATGATGCCCATTGCTTTTAACCGGAAAAACAATGCCATACAAACTTTCCAGCTGGCACAAAATCAACCTTAGTGATACATTATCTTCATCCTAATTCTTTCCTTGAGCTCCTCTTCTTCGCTTCTGATAACTTTCTAGGACTTGAGATAAACTTTCACAAACTTCTTTTGTCTTGTATCGTGATGTGCTTTTATGAAATATAGTGATTTTGATCAATATGCAGTGATCCTATGTCCCATGATGATCCTAACTGCATGACTGTTTGTTTTACTTTCAATTTAGATGACAATGCAATATATCCATTTTACCATGAAAAACTTTATTGATCTTCTTATACAAAAAGTATGATTTTAGATAACACATATGCAACGATGGATGAGTTCGAGATCTAGGAAAGTAGGCAGAATTTCCAGTATTCCACATAGAAAAAATGTAAATGTTTGGAGATATGTACCTACTAGTAATTCTCTTAAGTAGTGAGGCTTACATATCACCATCTTCAAGTTTTATCCAAAGGTATTTATTTAAGTATGTAAATCTCATATCTTCAAGAAATATAGTATTACGTGCATTCTCCGTCTTTTTATAAGAAACTAGATTCGTAACAGACGAGCTATTTGGTTAATATCAATTATATTAATGCTTAGGCTCATGGAACAAAGTGATATTCTGGATTAAAATAAAGGAGCAGCTAAAGTATGTCAAACTGAACAAAAGAGATGGTACAGAACTAGTCAATGGAAGTTAGTAAATATGTACCGAAGTAGGCAGTCAAAACTGAGGCAAACTATAAGGTAAGATACTGTGTATCAAGATTATTGAGCTGAAAAACTATATAATTTACTGAAATTTTCTGTAATGCAAACAAAATTCAAAAATCCAATACTTCTCAGAAGTTATCATCAATGTTTTAACACTAGAAAAAAATGAGGAGAATCTAATATCCAGAAAAAATTGTCTCACACTGTCACAGTTTTATACGACATTAGTTGCGTAATCTGGTGGACAGTAGATGAACTACTCTTTCCTCTCCCATATATACACACCTGAACATCTCAAGTGATCAAATATCTCATTCACTTAGACTGTACAGTAATTACTGGATACGGAACACACTGTGAACCTAATAAATCGACTCGAATTGAAGTCCACTCAGTTACTTTGTGCACATCCGTGCAGTAGAGTGTGATCCACGGCTAGTGATACTACTTGGCTGCCTATTCCTCGGTAGGTGGGGTGGGGTTCGAACCCATGACCCACCGATTGAAAGTCATCTCCCTAAACCGAAGAGCCACAGACCCACTACCAATGTTCACTTACCAAATAAGTGAACTATGACTAATCAATAAGCAGAATGATTTAACGTAACTCCAATTCCCGTAGTCTAGAGTAGTCACAAAATTAAAGGCAGAAACGGGAAATAGTCAATCTTCAGCCACATCGGTCACACAAATTATACGATTTAATTTTTTGCCATAATTTTCTCCCTTTTATCCAATCTTCAATGTGATTACAACACAGTTTAAGTCAAAGTTCGTCTTTTTTTCTAACAAGGAACCATTTCGATTTTTGTTTGTTGCGGTTTATCAATTTGAAAGTAATTTCCACCACGAACTGACATCAGCGGAGGAATATGGAAACTTTAGAAGTCCTAGATAACTGGTACATCCTACTTCGGGACTCCTTAACATTGCCCATCTGTGACCATGCGAAGCATCAAGCCGAAAACTATCAGATCTTATGGTGAACCATTAGCTTACAACCCACTGACTGGATGGTCATGCACTTCCTGAAACACTTGATAGTCATAGGCTTGATGCCTTTCAGGGTCATAAATGCTCATTGCAAAAATTTCCAGAATCAATATGAAACAGGACGAAGCGCGCATCCTGGATTCCATTACTAGTCATCAGGATGTATGTAACAGTTGTTCAATGCTTCAGGGTTTTCAGTTAGGGATGAAAACTACTTTCTAAGTAATCATTTCCTATTCTTCGGATATTTCAGGGACTTCACTCAAACCTTCTGTAGCTTTGATTTTCAGTGATACATTCTGAGAGATCATTCTTTCATCTTTGATGGATACCTCATTTCTTTATTGGTGAATATGTTAGTACTTGTTAAAAAAAAATACCGAACTCTGCTAGCTTGCCTGCGATAAAAGGAAAGCTGATGAAATTTAACAAATTCCTTTTTCAGCAGCCTATCTGCCACTTTTGATATCTTTGAAAAAGTTTTAAAAATATAAACTTTAGAAAGTGATCGTCAAGTAATCTTTCATCAAGCCTTCATACTCATCTCAATAACCCTTTTGAAAGGAAAACGTTAAATCAGCTACACAAATAAGATGGGATTAAACCAAAAAGTTACCTGCACACTTCTAATTCACGAATAATTAAATTTTGAATCACAACTTTGCTTTTGATATCAGAATTTCTAACTGGCGTCAACTTATTACGATTAATTTGGTGCATTAAAACAGATATGCCTCCGTGCCAAAGTTTACTAGATAACAGAAAGAAAAATAAGTATAAAAAGTGGCAAGCGAATGAAGTGGCTTACTAACAACATAGCAACATACCATAGGATTCCCTCATAGTGGTTTCCATAACCTAAATAGGATGTTTAGCAAGTGTATTAGTGTCTGATCCCCACTAGAGTTTATTTGATGGTATTTCCAGTACATTTTGGATGTGAATGAATGCCACCATAAAGTATAATCAATAGACTATGTAAAAAACCAATCACCGCCTGGTAGGTTTGTAATTCAGTTCAAGGTGGTACACTATATACCCTTAAGATAACTAAATAAAATCAACACTAGGGTACATTAAGGGTAGGAATTCATGACACGAACAGCAGTAAGTAAACAAGTAAACACCAAAATAAAACAACAAAGGTAAATTATTCATTTGTTGAACTGCGTAAAACACACTGAGGGCACGGAGATTGGCGTCACACAACAGCACGATAATGATGAGTGAAAAAAAATACTAAATGTAGTAATAACAGTCTCAACATTAGTATTAATTGTGATAAAGAAAAGGTTCAGAATGCCCTGACACGTGATAGGAGTTGAATACGTCCAGTGATGGAAAAGATCTCAGCAGCTTGCATACTAGCAAGAAAAAAGGTTAAAAAATCCGACCTTGAAGTTTCACGAATCGTTTTATGTAACTTTTAGAACTGTCTGATTTATAACAGTCGTAATCATTGACTTTACATTGAACGACTCCAAAGTCTGCCCCATCAACTAACGACTAACCTATTAGGTTACTTTGTTTCATGAAAAAAATACCTCTGTAGTTGAAATTTTACTAGTCGCTAGGGTAACGTTTACAGTCAATTTTTCTCACTGATAACAGACTGTTATCCTACTCACTGTTTTCTTCATGTGTTTTTCTAAATATTTTGTTTAAACAGTAAAATAATATCAAGTAGAAATTAACACTGAAGCAAAAAATTAATGCTGTCAGGAATTCTACTGAAATGACTGACTGGTGGAAAAAACTAGTGCGGAACTTCACACACAAGGGCTTCAGTTCAAGTTGCCACACTTCACAGTAGGTTACAAAGAGCAGGTGGATAGAAAATTAGTTATATCATGGTAGACGAAGTTGTGGGAGAGAATAAGCAATTTGGAGACGAAGCTTAGGGCAAATAAACAAGCTAAGGAAGATTTCAAAGACTGAATATATCTGCTCCATTGTAGTCGATTGTTAGCCATGTCACCAAGAGTCGTATACCACTGATTGCTTTTGTCTCGGGCATCCTAACTAGTCAGTCTACATCTCCCCACATGAATCAGACCAACAGTCGGAGACTTCCACTGGTACCAGGTCTTGGTCCGGCCACCCTGGACCCTCTTCCAAACAAATCCAGCTTTTCCCAGCATGACAAGTGGAAGTAGGAGGGGACTCGGCATGCGCAGTAGGTGTCCAAGCCAGCTCAGTCGACCAGGGTTCACAACCTCGTCAATCGATTCGCCTGTCCTACCCAGTGCCCTTCGCCTGACTTCAACATTGCTCACACGATGATTCCAACAAACCCGAGCAATGCTTCTAAGACAACTATGATTAAAACTCTATAGCGCTTTATGTCTTCTACTTTTAATAGTTATGCCTCACAGCTGTATCACAGAATAGAACGGATTGAAGTGAAGTATGCTTGTCTTTTGATAGATAGTTGGATTTGTCGCCAGTTGGAGCTACAGACAACGCAAGTTCACAAATGCCAAATCCGAGGTGGGATTTCATCAGCAACCAACCTGTGCGGGCTGATGCGACTCCCTAGGTAAGTAAAGTGGTTGACACATTCCACCACTTCACTCCCCATCATTAAACTGGGGGTGGCTGCAGACCAGTCCTAGGGCATCATCTTAAATTTGGCAAATGTGAGATATATGCCACACATACACAGATTTCTGCCCAACGTGCTCAGAAGATCTTGCATTTTGTCAGCGTCTTCACCTAGCAGAACAATATCTTTTGCATCCTGCTGTGTTGAGTGACTATGTCACCAGATAAAACAGCACAATTCTAAACGGCTGACAAAGATGTATATCAAAAATCTGGTAATATTACAAAGAAAAATATTTCAACAGTTAAACTCGAATCCAGTTAGAGGCATATGCTGATTGTTTTCTAGACAAAAGTTGAAGACCTAGGTCTCTTCATACTGCAAGGAAAAAAATGAGAGATTCAGGGGACTGCTTAGCCTAAGAGATATCGTATGATACATTTAGAATCGGTGTCTGATTGCAAAATAGAAAGTAAAGCTCCTCAAAATTGTTCTGTCAGTCAACGTTTTCCCTCACCTAATCTTGTAGTGTAAATAATTCGCGGAGGGAATGTGAAATGATAGATGAGATGTAAGGTGTGTCAAGTTGTTCAACCGAATATTTGAACCAGCTGTTCTTCAGTGTTCAACATTAATTAGAAAACCATATTACTGAGGATACTATCCAAGATGGCAGAGGTTTTACAAACTAGTATTATTAATACCCAGTGACGATTGACGACGTAGCAGAACCCCGGTTTACGGTAGGATTCGATTTGATTTGACGGCTTCTGGACTAATAAGGCAGGGCTGTCGTAGCCTTAATCATCATCAGAAACCACCCTATCACAAGGACAGGGTTTCAGTTTGTTAGTTGGTTGGGGACAATTAAGAGGAAGTCCTGCTCCACCTAGGTTATGTGTTCGTTGCCACTCGTTAACAAAGCGTGTCGGCAACCTCGATGGAATTGATGTCCCGCATGTGGTTCGAACCCACACCACCGAGTATTGTAGTCATTGAAGTTACAACTGAGCCATTTGGCGAGCGACTGACCTCCTGTAGGACCAGATTCGACTCATTTACTGGCCACTGGAGAGCAATCAACCTCATATTATATAGTCTTGAGTGCAGACCAAATTCTGTCGATCATTTTCCAATACGGCCATCAAGCTAGGATGCAAATCATCCCAATGAACTTTGACAGATGTCAGTTAGTTGGCTGGTTCCAGTATGCTCAGACAAGAAAAATAATTAGTATATTAAATTAACCTGTCTACCTTCTCCCCATCATAGACCCTTAAAAGACATGCAGAATAAATATTTGCTTGTATTTTTGATGATAAATTATTCTGTCTGGAGTAAACGACGTTTGAAGTGTACTGTCCTTGAAGCGATTGGGAGTGATGTACGAAAATAAGTATTCGAACTGGAACATGCCATCTAATCACTACTTCCTCATAGATACTGTTTCGTGTAAAGCATGCCTATGACCCTCTCCCATTCACTCTTGACATGAGTTAGAATGATAATGTGCTATGCGGAAAATATTTTCTTTCATCTTCTTTCATGCAAGATGTCAATAGTAAATAAGTGAGAATTTTCCTCAGTTAAATTTAATTATTCCTATCAGACCGGGACGCTAGGTCAATCCGCTAAGCCTCTGGATGTTGGACTGAGCAGTTTAAGGAGATGGAGACTACCTGGTTGGAGTTTTCAAGACAATATAAATCAATGATTAGACATCCTTCGTGATATGGTTGAAAATCGGTCACAGTGGCTCATATGAACTTACTATCAGACGTCTTCCAAAGTTTGAGCATTTTCACTGACAGTGATTTTCAGACTACTCCTCCAGTATGTTATTGTCTGGTTTGATATCAGTCTTTCCCCACCTACTCAGTTCTTCCGTGGAGTGTGACAGCTTAAACTGACGCACTTCTGCGTGAGGTTCCAAGTTGATATGATCTGTCTCTCTGACTCTTGCTGAGTGAAATTGGGCTTTAACTTACTGTGCAGTAAGGATACAGGATCTCAGCAAGCTTTTAGGATTTGTCCTGGTGCGAACTTGACAGACGCAAAGACCAATCACTAATTATTCGAACTTGTTATATACCCACGAATACGAGACCAAGGAAGAACACGATAGCGTAGTCGGATGGAATAGTATATTTGGATGGTTATGCCAAAATACCGATGCGTTCCAACTAACTGGCTAGAGAGTCGAATACGAGCAATGCAACGTAACACGACAGCGTGCCAAATGGCGAGGATGCTTGACCGGATGCCTTCAGCTTAGCGAGTCCAGTTAAACTATCAAGGTCAGCATCAATGTCGAAGTCGTCAAACCCTAGGCTATTGATTTTGGGGAAGTGTATGACGCTACAGATCACTCCCCCCCTAGTGGGTTCGTGAGGACCCTAAGACGATACCAGCCGGAAGTAAAAACCCAGTGGTTTCTCCACTGGTAAAACTCTCCCGATGGGCTCACTGCGTGAGGTGGCCCCTGGTTGTCTGAACCTTATTCTAGGGTGTCGTGGCGATTAAATAAATAAAATACAATAAATGAAATTGTACGTCGGTCGCGGTCATCTGTTCCTTTCGACGTTCCGTCCAGTGCTCGTTGCACCTGGAATATAAATAAAAGTCTTTAATACCACGAAAACGTTGCGTAAAAATGGGAATTATTTATATATAAACGTGTCGAAAAAGAAAAATTTACGCTTATCTTCGCCGTTTTTTTTAGTTTTTATTACATGGTAAATAAAAATTGATATAAAAAGGCAAAGTGTACGAGGGTTTGTGCCGGTAAATAAGAAAAATAGTGCCTCGAAAAAAATGGTTGGCACACACATAGCTAAGTTGAATATGACTTCAGGTACTCTGGGAACCTGACGGTTCGACCTGATCGTGTTTTTTGTTGCGCCGCTGGTTGTTGCAGCTGTGCATTACCAGGCACATCGTCGAGAATTTCGATAATTGAGTCATCCGTCGGCCGGATGTAGCGAGCTGAAACGTCACTTACAATGGGGTTGCCTTCGAAATAAGCTGGTTTCAAACGGTCGATACTGACAGTATCTTCGCGTCCGCCTCGCTCAATTACATAGAATTTCTCATGTCGCTTAATCACTTTGAACGGCCCGTCGTAGGGTGGTTCAAGTGGTCGACGAACAGCGTCGTGGCGAACAAACACGTGTGATGTCTTCTGTAAACTGGGGTGGACGAAAACA